AGTACAGTGGTGGATCAGGCACAAGGTAGGCATTTCCATCACAAATGAGAAATTGGAGGGAAAGAAGGGATGACAGGCACCAAACAAGTCCATTAGTTCTTTTTTTTAAAATTGTGATTTGGATGAAAATTTAGAGAGCAAATTCACTTTCCATACAGCAGTTCACATACACTTTGTCTCATGACATTGACTACAATTTACCCCAATGCAACAACAGCTCCCCTCCCACTTCCTCCTGAGAGTTACCTCTTCCCTGTGTCCATCCCTCCATGTACTCCTGCCCCTGAACTGTCTCCCGGTGCATAAGCAGCCCTTCTTTCTCCCTTGATTAGTTCTCTCCAAAGAGTATATCTACCTCAGGTAAGTGTTCAACTCATATGCCTGTCTTTTGTTTGGCTGGAAGCCACAGGTATGGGTTCAAGTCCAGATCTGAAGGGCAGGTAGGGGCCATAGTCTCAGTGGTTCCACCAGGCTCTATCAGACCAGCAAACCTAGTCCATTAGTTCTTAAAGCTTGAAAATAATCTTCTGTTTTCTGAGACCATCTGGGCAATAGTCCTGCCCTCTAGTCTCTGGGTGTTGGTCATGCTCTGTGGATTCTGGGTGTTGGCCCCTTGGCCCTGGGTAGAGGCCTCACCTTCCAGGCCCACTGGTATGAAAACCTCCATCTCTCTGTTTGGGTAGCCCATTTTCCTAGTCCATCTGAGTGTCAAACCCATGTTCGTGGCAGCAGTAGGCTCTGTTCTCCTGCCTCTTGGGTTTGGCAGCTCTGTTCCCTTAGCTTTGAGCCTCCACTCCATTTACTTGGCTTTTGAACATGGTACTCCCACCCCCTCAGCTTTGGGTGATTAGCAGCAAACTAGTGAAAGGAAGAGGTCAGCAATTGGAACCTACCAGAGCCCTGGTGGCATAGTGCCTAAGGCACTTGACTGCTAACCAGAAGGCTGGGGTTCAAACCCACCAGCCACGCCTCAGAAAGAAGGTTGGGCAATCTACTTCTGTAGTGATACTGCCTTGGAAACCCAAGGAGGGGTTGCTATGAGTTGGTCCCACTCCATGGCACATAACTACAACAACAACAAGCAGCTCCTTGTGTAGTAAATCCTGGTGAAGACTGGTAGAAAATCCTGGTGAAGACTGGTAGAAAAGACCTGGTGATCACTTTGGTAAAGATAATAGCCTGAGAATCCTATATGGTGGCTGTAAGTCAGAATCGGCTTCAAGGCACACAACAACAACATTCCTAGGTCCTTGGTGATCATGTGATCCCCTCTGTGCTTTCTTGTTTACCATTTTTTTCTAACTATGTGACACCCAGCTAAATTCACACATGCATATAACTAGCAGGCATAGGAAACTAATGCCCAAGGGGATTGCATGTGTGAAAATATGTTAATCTGCTTTTTTATATCTCAAAAGAGATTGATTTGAAACACTAATACTATCTCATTAACATAACAAGAAAGTCCATTCCCAAATGGGCTTATAATCACAGGTACAGGAGTTAGGATTTACTACACATATTTTTTAGGGGGTGCAATTCATTCCATAATAGCATCCTCTCCAATGTGGAACAGGTAGTTGAGATGCTATGGGCCCCTGAAGTTGTGATGCACTTATGGAAGGGCTCAGTGAGGGGCAAAGAGGGCCACAGAGTAGTGTGTGAACACATCTGGAAGGTCTTTTGGGAGCTTCTGAAGAAGCAGAGGGATTCTTTGGAAGGAAGAGGGATGCTTGAATGGAAGTAGGCACTCCCCAATAAGCTTGTAGGAGCGAGAGTCAGGGAAATTTGAATTCACTCATTACCTGAGACCAATTTACCTCCAGGCAGATTCTTTTCTTT